TCCACCTCCGCAGAGCTGCTGATGTCCGAATCACTCGGGCGAGGCCATACTGCTGCTGCCACCCGCTGTGAAGCCGTTGTTAGGTCCCAACTCCCCTCGGTATACATCCGCTATCTCCCCTATGAGTGATGCCTACTACTACCGCTAGAGTGACTCTCCGAGGCTTACGGAGGAGCTTGAGAATATGCGCTACCGCATCAGCGGCGCCTCTTCCACTGTCGAGCACAACAGCGATCCTCTTGGACGAGAGCATCGCCAACTTGACAGTGTTAACAATAAAGGAAGGGTACTCCGCGAGCTCCTGGCCGCTGAGGAGGCACGACCATCAACTTCGTTATTGGCTCGGAAGAGACCACTACATGACGGTTTTGAGATGATAGTCCGAGTCCCTCTGAAGGCCGCCCAAACCGTGGAGGACCGCTCGCATCGCTTGTCGAGCTGCATTGCCTGACACCCAGAGCGTGGTGATACTATCATCATCGACTGAGCCGAGGGAAATGAATCATCCAGAGTTCCACGAGGATGCTCTTACTACAACATGACGGTGTTAACAACATGGTTGAATCCATACGAGTGCTTCCATCATCCTTCGCCCTAGGCAGACCCTCTCAAACAGGATCGTGTTAGACAATTCTCAACACATTGGTGTGTCCCAGCCTCCCTCCTGCCCCTTTTGAACGTCAAGTGTCTCACCTTGATTATTATCCTCCTCTGTTGCCCAGTCCAATGAGCTCGCCAACTGCTCTACATAGTCCGCCAGTGTCGCCTCGTCCATACCCACAGGGTCGAGGAACCGAACAAAAACCACTACGACCGACGAGTCCTCATGCGCCGGGCCTATTGCGCCACCCGCTTCAAGGCCTATACCCTATACAAGATATGTCGGCGGTCAGATTATTGTTAAATACACTCTGTAGAGTTTTCGCCAACTCCCGACACAAATCAATACTCAGGCAATGCGGATATACAAACAACAGTGTAAATTCAAGATGATACCCATAGACCCTCCACAGTAGGAAGGATTAGTATTGACTCATCCGACTGCGACAGAGGAAAGAAGATCTATACGACTCGCTGTGCACAACCACAGTGGACTATTCCGAAGAACTAGTGAGATCCTGGCGCTATGCGGCACGGGTTCAAATCTCCCCTCAGGCATTTCTTCCATCCTACTATTAACACAATAAAACGATCGACGACTTAGCAGAAAATGCCAATTTTAATGGCGGGAAAAACAGAAGTCTTCTGAGTCAGAAGTTCTGACTCTCACGCATAATAAAGCACTCGGAGAAATGAACATAAATAAATATATACTCCGATCACTTCGGTTAGGGTATGGAAAACATATACATTTACCAAGGAACGCATTTAGTACACCTCGGGGCAATAACGGTCATTCTCGGCAAGGTCTTCGAATATCTCCTTAGCCTTCTCCATGGAGACGTTCTCACCCTTAGCGATGGCACGATAGACGGCACTCCTGATGTCGTTCTCAACCTGACCAGCCTGTCCGCAAAGATAGAAGTAACCACCCTTCTTAATGAGATCCTCATAGATACGAGAGCTGTTATCATCGATCTTGTTCTGCACATAGACCTTCTCCTTCTGGTCACGCGAGAATGCGGGATGAAGCTCAGTGATGGCACCCTCCTCAACGAAGCTCTCAAGCTCGTTACCAAAGATGTAATCCTTGTTCTGATGACGGCAACCATAGAAGAGCCACATGGGACCAGTCTCGATGCCCTGACGCTTCATCCAAGCACGCTCTTGAGAGAAGGCGCGGAAGGGAGCAAGACCAGTACCAAGACCAGC